TTTCAAGCGAAACAGGAGGAAAGTAAAAGGGAATAGCGGATATAAGAGGTCCTATAGCCTGCACTTGCGCAAGGCGTCAGTGAACTACACTTACAAACAGATACTCAAATGTCAAATTGCAATTCTCATTGGGTGTTATAATTACAATACCCCTAAAAGAAAGATCCGCGTCCTCTTACTTACTCCATAACAAGCACAACAAGTTATATTTAACAGATCTTGCTTTGCTGCAGGGTAGGTAACAGATACAATGGAGACCGATGACTCCTCTCCCATCTTGATTGATGGGACGATTGGATTCCTACTAAAACAGTGCTACAACAAAACTTTTCAGTCGTTAGTTGCTCTATGTATTGCTTGGCTGGGTTCGTGAGCGTGAGTAACAACCCAATCATTCTTTAGGTGGCGAGAGCCTCTGTCCTACGAGCCAAGCCATCAGCAAAACAACATAACCCAGTCTCGTAGAAACAGCGCAAGTAGTCCATTGTTGAAAGCTGGACACACGTAATTGTTTTCTTGGGAAGTCGGCAAGGTAATAAAGTCGCAAAATTATGCAACCTGTCACCTAACAGGGGCACGAGTTCTTCACCTAACAACACATGCAGTTGAGTAGCTGATTTTTACGCCACAGGTACCTGATTCGGGATTGAATCTTTGTTCCCGCCTGGAATCGGCTCAGAGAGATGCTGCAAGCTTGACGGAATTTGCGCGGAGTCATTGGAATATTACTCGCTTCCAATATGTGCAATTATTCACCTGGAAAATGGGTCACATTTGGGCAATCCGCGATATTGCCAATGACCACAAGAGGGTATTCTGCTTGACACGCTTAATTGAGCCCTCCCTCACTAGAAGAGTGCTGATGGTTCGTGTCAGACCACCACGACTACGTGAGCTTCCTGGATGCCTCTTACTGGATGGATATCGAGGGGTTGGAAGGGTTCGTGTCCGCCTTCTTCATTGCTTCTCATTATGCGAGCAGGGCATGCAAGCCTCTTGAGAGGTATGCTTTGCCTATCTCCCCTTCTTTTGACCCTATCACCAGGGAAGCCGGCTTATCAACAACTACAAGCGTACATCGATGATGCCGTCGAGTGATTGATAAACTAGCCGGAGAGCTTTGTCATCCTGTCCGACGTCAATCGCTTATCGTTGTCTCGAGAAAACTACCAAGCGTCGGATTGGTGGCGTCCCGCCAGTGACATGTGCCGACCGAGGAATGGTTCGATGGGTTCACGTCGAAAAAATGTTAGCTCCAACGCGTCACATGCAGGATGCGTCATGATGGAACAACGAATGCTTGTTTGTGCAGGGATAGGACTGGACACCCTTTATCGATGACGGAGAGGAGAGCTGAGCATACTGTTTCGAGAATGGATGTGGGAATCTCTCGTGATTTTGCATGGACAGCTGAAGATGTTGCGTCTGGGTCGGATGGCGAATGGCTTCATATCACTTGGCCCTTGCGCCATGCTTGATTTCTGCTGAACTTGAATGTCGAAAGAAGCCAATGTCGGGAATGGGATGGGTGTGTCAGTGTTGATAAGAACGTGATCGGAACGATAAGAGTTGGCGTCAACCGTTACATTCACCACCCGCCACATGGTTGCTGGCGATCGCCTCAAGGGACTCGGCATTTGCGGTATCTACGACACGCTATCCCCCATGTTCCGATATGGGAATTGCTCACTACAGGTGCCCTGAAACATGGGCAATGAACTGATCCCCCATGCCAATGGCGCCAAGGGTCTCGACTCTTGGCCGCCGCGTCAAGACGCCCGTGACGAACGCCACCAACGGCTGCTGCAACCCAAGGGCTTCGGGAAAAAGTTGACATTGAAGGTCCACTGGGACAGCTCACTCTGTCCAATCACTTGCTCTCTATCCCTGCATGCGTTCATCAGATCATGGAGGGCATTCCAGGTTCTCCCCCCAACGTCATTTGTGCCTGCGGATCAACAGCCTGAGGCACCTGCTCCCGTCTTCTGATGCCATTGGCATGAAAATCGCACGATGGAGAGTTATCGTGGTGGGTGAGAAGCGACGGATGCCAACCAACGCTAGCTACAAGTTATCAAGAGTGCTCTGATCTGACAAGGGACTCCACAGGTCCACGGCAGATCTTTAGATCTATTCTATGAGGGGGTTTTGGCTGTATAGTTTGGCTAGAGATAATATCTCATCTGGGTCTAGAGTGGCCAGTGAACTAACTTGGTGGCCGTGGTACTCATTAAGAGCCGCTCCCCGCATCGCACCCGTCTTGGCTACCTCAACCTTCTCTTCCTCCACGACGACTTCCATCCACATACTTCGTTTACTACCGTCATGAACAGCTTAATTTCATCTCGGTCATAAATGATACCTCCTTATCTGGCCTGAGGTTCTCAGCAATCCCCCAGAACGAAGCTCGCTTGCCCCGGCCTCAAAATCGACTCACCACATCAGGTTCGGCCTTCGTTCCGAGCACACAGAAACGACAGATTTCTTGACAGCGGATTACTAGATCCAGAAAACCACACGTACTGTCACAAAATGCCTTTCTCTTCTACATCCTCAACCTCCTGTTACGGCCTCACTCTGGATCATCCCCTACGACCCGGCTCTCCGTCTTTCAAACACTACCGGCTACCGACCTCGCATTCTCGCCAAGCAAATTACGCACAGCCACTCCACAATACGACGGCGGGCATTTTAACTCTAACGGGGTTGGGCGCGGAGCCAAGCATTATGGTCACGGGGTCCTCGGGCATGCGAGTGAGATCACCTGCCCTGGTCGGATACCGAGAGCGAGACGATACTTGTAACGGCAACGAAAACAAGACGGCTCCCGAGGCCCTGGAGAGGCAGCCAAAGGAATCACCGGAAGTGGCAAAGGCGTCGAACCAAGACTCGGGCGGCGAATCATCGCCACCATGCGCCCCTACGAAGACCAGTCCAGGCACAGGGTCCGTCGACGACAGGGGCAAACTTGGTAACGAATCGCCGTCATGCCAAGAGACAAGCACCTCTCAGGGTCCTGGAGAGAGGCTCCAAAGGCCTCGCAGCGAGTCCAGTGAACGGGTCCGTCCCGCTCTTCGTCCGCGCCATCATCGAAGCTCTAGCATGCCTAGCTTTTCAAAGACGGTCCACTTCGACACGAAACTGAACAACGTTTGTTACTTCCACAAGGCCGATCGCCCTCTCGCCGTCAGCGCAGGCTCTTCGCCAGTCATTGGCCATCTCGAGGCGAATGAGTACCCGTTCTACGCAGACAACGACGAGGACCTTTTTGAGTGGCAGCTTTTCACACCCAACTTTCCTCGGAATTCCCTGGATAGGGAGTCCATGCCAGTCCGGCTCGAGAGGTTGTACCTTTCACATGACAACAAGCACATCTTGGGTTCGGTCATAGTGGCAAACCTGGCTTTTGAGAAGTCGGTCATTTGCCGCTTTACCTTGGACTACTGGACAACGACTTCCGAGACCATGGCGGTGCATTGCTGCCCTGTGCCCGGGCAGATGGGCAAATATGACAGATTCATATTCAGCATCAGGTTAACAGAGACTGTGAATATTGAATCGAAGCCCATCTTTCTCTGCATTCGCTACAGCGTCAACGGGCAGGAGTTTTGGGATAACAATCTGGGCACCAATTTTCAGGTAGATTTAAGAAAAAAGTATGGATGCTAAGTGAGAAAATGGGTTCATAGAGCGAGAAGATAGATATCAGTGTACGAATGCAAAGAACGAGAATTTACGCCATCACCAAAACCTGATGATTCAAAGCCACAGTCAGGTTACTCGAAAACCATCAAGAGAGGCAATCAGGTTCCGGACGTGGCTGATCATATCATGTTCTCTGAGCCACTTGCGCCACGCTCTCGGCAAGCGCGGAGTTCTTGACCGTCAGATCATGGCTGCAAACGCGGTCTTGTGCCGAGACAAGACGCCCAATCGCAAGACAGTGCAGCCCGCAAATTAATGAGCGCTAGCTAGATCCGTTGATCCCATCCGCACGCGAGGTTCGTGAAACGAAAGAGCTCGTATGGTACCTTACCCCCTCCTGAGCTGAAAAATCCGAGACTGCCGAGCGAGCTTGGCTTGGAGGATCCATGCAGCCGATCAAGCACTGGGCTTATCTGCAGCGCTTTTGGGGCCCTGTAATGTGATTCTGTGCTTAAGCGACTCATGGTGAGGCCACCATCCTGCGTTTGAAACTGGGGTCGAGGGACGTGATGCTGGGAACTGGCGAGGGGCTGTGTTTTACATAATCGGCTCTCATCTGTTTGTGACGTGCTGTCGGCGGTTCGGTTTCCTGCAAATTTCGTAAACGCCGCCGCCCCCGATCTTGAGCAAACCCCTTGCGAGGTTGGGTTTAGGTACCCTTGTGGCCCGTCCTGTCGGTACAAGCCCCCCTATTTACTCAAACCGAGGTTGATCATAACTACCTCTATTAAGATCTCCTGTTCAAGTCCACGTGCGCCGACCTCACAGCCAGGTAGGTGAATCCGGGGGGTGCTCTTCCTGGATGTACTCGGCCGCCTATCATTATGTATTTGGGGCAATGGCACCCCTTGAAGTGCAAGGCCTGATCTTGATAGCAGTGTTTTGTGCAACTAGGTTTCGAAGTTATTTTATTCCTGTGATTGTTTAATCTTTGAGATTGTTTATACTGTAACAATTACGATGCTTTAGCGTCCTCTACCCTCATTTTTAGTTATGCCAGATTATTTTCCCGCTAGAATTTCTGAGACACGGTGATGATTTCTTGTTTTCCAAGTATCATTGTCGAAAACCACTAGCTCGTCTGATTCATCCCTTCTCATTGAAGCGACAGCAGAATGGCCCTGGCGATAGAAAGAGGTCTTGGGCTATACGAGGCTTCCTAGCCTTGGAGCCACTCGCGTACAGCATGTTCCGCTTCCACAAGATGAACCAGCGAATGTTCTCCCGGAGCGAGTTTCTGATGAATGTCTTCCTTGCGATTTTTGTCGCCTAATTACGAAGGTGAAGCAAAATGCCTAATAAGAGGCTGGAACGACTCCAAGTCTACCACCGTCTGTCACAAGTACATTTCCGTTGATGTATGCACCAGCTCGGCTGACCAAAAACAGAATAGCACCCGCGATATCCTCCTCATCTCCAGGCCGTTCCTCAGGGACAACAGATTTGGGCCAGCCGACCGTTTTGCGGTACTCAATTGCCTCCGTTGTCATTTCGCTGGGATAAACTGGGAATTCATAGTCAAAACTTGATCTGAACGATTACTTGGAAGCTGCATCTGCAGACAACTTACATCCTGGTGCGATGACGTTGGCACGAATGTTAAATTGCCCGAGAGATGTGGAGAGCTGCTTGAAAATGTGCGTAACTGCGGCCTTGGAGCCCCCATAGGCATATCCCAGAGCGGGTGATCGGTTGAAGCCACCAATGCTGCTGGTGGCGATGACTTGACTTCTTTGCTTGAGATTTCCTTTCTTGTTGCCGGCATCGAGCAGTTCAAGGAAGGCAAAAACTGTGTTCAGTACTCCGACAGTATTGATGGTGAAAGTGGTGCTGAGATCCTTGGTATCCCAGCCCCAGACATAGTTGCGGAACTCTGAGATGCTGGGATTGGACGGCAGTTTGTTAAGAGAGGGACCTCCAATACCGGCATTGGCAATGACAGCATTGACATAGCCGTGGCTAGATTCTATCTCGGACACTGCACGCTCAAGATCTTTCTTGTTTGTTATGTCGCCTTGAATGGGATGAATGTTTCCGTGCTTCTGCCCTGTGTTAGTCGCCTCTATCACCAGCAGCTACTTCAAAAAACCTGGGCAGCATACCGCGGTGCTGACTGCACTCTCTAGGACTTCCTTTCTTCGCCCGATGACATAGACAATTGCACCATTAGCTTCGAGGGCCTGGGCTATCATAAGGCCAATGCCTGTCGAGTGTCAGTGACGACATCAAGTGCAAATAGATGAACCTACCGCTTCCGCCTCCTGTCACAACGGCGATAAGGCCATTGACGTTGAAGAGGTTATTGATCTCGAAAGCTGAGGCCATTATGATAGTTGGAGAGATGGGTAGAGAAGATAATCAAGAGTGAAGCCTTTGAGATCGTGTCTAAGGGCATGTTTTATTCCCGCAGACATGTCGTAAGTGGGGTTGCTATTATTAATCCGCCCCAGATATTGCGACATCGAGAACTTCCATACCTGGTCCCACGATTACTATTCCTAATGTCATACTGAGTTAATTGAGCTCTTGTTCTGATTCTTATGGGGCCAGCTTCTGAACGTGGAAACCCGCCCTAGCCAAGCGTCACTCATTGCTCTCTTGCTAAGTCGTTGCTCGGCTTGCCACTTGACGCCCCATTGTTACCTATATCTCGAAACTGATTCATTTCCCCAACCCGCATATCTCATTTGCTCTTGCAGCCAGGCTTCCATCCTTCTATTACTTAACATGAATACAGAATCCTCTGGGTGTGGGCGAAGTGCGGGACCTCAAATGGGCTGATTGAGGTTCGGGGATAAAGGAGACTACGAAAATACAACCTAGTGGATTAGCAGGCTGATAGACAATGATGGAGACTTAAGTTATGCAATGATTAGACGCGAACAAGAATGCGGCCAAGCGCCAGCAGATCAGCAAGTTTTCACTAGCTGGTTATAAAGTGTGGGTAACCAAGGGGAGACACAGAGTTGACTGAGACAAAGAGTTGTTGGTCAAGGTTCATCTGACATTTTTACGAGGTCGACGACAGAAATAAAACCAGGCCACCAATACAAAGCTTTCAAATCGTAAAAACTTGCATAAAAGGGCTATTGCTAAGTCTCAGCCTGAAGCCGAGAGCTTATGGCTTATGTGTTAATGTTGGCTCAGCCCCAAGCTGAAAGCTCAATTTCCACCTTGCATAAAAGTGCAAGTGACGAGTCCAGTTACTTGGCAGCTCAGCTGCCACTCGGTAAAAAAATTGTGGTTAAGCGCCAGCCTCGTTTACTCAGGCGAGAATAATTACCGAGTTCCTTCTCTCTCGAATCTTGAACTCGCTCAACTTGTTCTCCAACACTCAACTTTCATCAACTCTACCCCTTCTTGGCCGTTTTTGCCATGCCTCTCCACTAGGCAAGAACATGCACCCTTCTCTTTCTCTTGGTGTGGATTATCAATATGGATTTTGCCAACGCTGCAGCGTCGGCTGATCAATTCAAGGCCTCGTCGGTTGATCAATTCCAGCGATGGTACCCACAGTACAGACACGTCTTCGATAACATCACACGGGCCAACTGCTCAGTCGAGTACCGCAACTACAAGTCAGGCATCATCAACTCCACCAACATCAATTACTTGGCCGGTGGCGACAAATTCACAGCGCTCACTCAGCCCCTTATTGACTGCATCCTTGACAATACGTCCGAGTATCTCAAGGGAAGCATGACTAGCGCTCAAGTTCTGCTCGGCATCATGCCCACCATCATCACCTTCCTTGGTCCCTCTCATGATGAGATGGCCATGCTGTCCAATATTGGTAGGAGGCCGCTTCTTGCTGCTGGCATATCTCTGGCAGCCCCTTCGGCCTATTTCAGCAGAGCTTTTGAGTATTTCGACCCAGGCGAGATCCTGTGCCACCATAAGTACCGGCATAAACAATATCCCCTTGGAAACCACTTGACGATCTTGGTCTCCGTTCTAGAATATGGTGTTGTCGCAGGAGCCTGTTGGAACATCGTCGTCAACACCCGGCAGGTCAACCTGTGGTCCATTAGCTCTCTGGCATCAGATGCAGATTTCTTGCCCGGACTGTGGCTAGCATTTGGCCCTTGCATCCACTTCTTCAGCTGCTTTGTCTTCTGGCTTCGAATCCGTGGATGGAGGGACATCAAAAGAGGAAACATAAGTGAGGCCACGAGCGACGAATCCTTATCGAGGCAGGAGGACAGCGTTCTGAAGAGGCTGTGGGGTTTCTTGATCACCAAAGAGTTGGTTCCGTGTGCTACTAATCACTACGTTTCGTGTATTACGGGGCGCATGGAGAGCAAAACTTTCCTAGTGACTGCGTGGCTGGAGTCAACCTTTACGATCCTCCACGTTGTCTTTGGAACTCTTGTCTTTTCGGGGACTCTTTTTGTAGGAACCAAAGAAGCTCTGGGGATTGTGGGCAGGTACATTGCTGGTGTGGCTGTTTGTCGCATTATTCTCATGTACGAGTTGGCCGGTTTACGTGAGAGCTGTGTCTCTATCGATGGTGTCAAGATTAAGCCGGAGGACAGCGATCATTCTGGTGCTGAAGAGAGCCAAAGGGGTGGCAGTGAACTTGAGGACGGGAGGGGAGGGAAAGGGCCAACTGTCAAGGAATTCAGCCGTGATTGATGCGGCGTGGGGCCATCACCAACACTGGCGTTGGCAAAAGTGCTATGTTGGTTGCACTCCAGTATTATGGCTGACCCTATAGAGGAAGCTGTCATTGGGCGGTGGCGGCATCATATGTTTTTCGACTAGGAGTTTCGTATAGCAACCAGTCTCGCACACAACGAGGAGGATCAGATATTGGGGTGATGAAGTATTGCATGTAGCTCAAAGTCTCCATCAGATTTGCGTATGTCGAGCGTGACATCTCCAAAAGGCAACTCGTAAGGGGCAACTGTCATCTCGATTATACGCATCGCCGTCTGGCCCTTACACTCATTTCTCCACCTTCTATCCTTCCTGTTGGGCAAACCTGGGCGAAAGACCTGTTAGAATTTCTTCAGACCAACGACCTTCAATGTGCCTTAGGGCTGCTTACAACGTCGGGGCCTTAGGTGCTGAATCGCTGTCTCTGCTACACATTGACTAGAGAGCGGCGCCAGTCTCTAAAAATCTCCGAATAGTATGACATGGAATTGAAGTTTAAATGTTTGGTTTGGTGCCTTCCCTTCGGTTGTGGAAGTTAAGACATAGAGAGGCACAACAAAGGTAGTGGTGGCTTGACGAGGGTGGCAGACATGCGTTCAGCCTGGCAACTAGGGATTAGGGGCTCCTAAAGGGACCCAAAGGCCGCACATCGGTAGTCTCATTGCATCATTTTACGCCCCATATATCGAATAGTGGCTTCTCGGAAGGTGGTTGGCGGCACGGATGTCTAGCTGGCGGCCCTTTACAGCCCCTGACAGTGTCGACAACCGTCAACCACTGCCAAAGCATTCAGCCTCTAGTAATATATATCAAATGACCGCTTTATGATTTTAACAATCAATCCATCGGTTCCGATGGCGCAGCGGTTAAACCACTTGCCCCTCCGGGTGAGGATCCTTGAGATCGGTGCAAGCCTTGATGTCGGTGAGCTCGGTGTGTGGAGGCGCCTGCGGGCAATTTTTTTCTCTTTTCCTTTTTGTCTATCTTTATTCGTTTTATAGGAAATATGAAATTTGCGGCGGGTATTCTCTTTATTTCATTAATCGCTGTGGCGTGCTGCGACGAGTGTGTTGGGTGGTAGAGTTCGCTCTCCCTTAAGATTGCTTCGAGACGACTTATGCCATCAACTCGCATTTTCATAAGGCTTACTTTGATGACGAAGAAGAAGAATGTGGCCTGGGACGACAAGTCACATTTTCTTACAATAGACTGCTTTTGGCTAACCGCCAAGATGAAAGATTCCTTCTAATAGGCACTGAGGCAAACCGGGTCGTATTGCTGCACGACAGTCTCACTATAGCCATTCTTGTCTTATGTGCCGCACTCCACCGGGCTCATACGTTAGGAGAAAGGTGATTCAGCTGCCTGTGGTCCAAGAGATTCTGCATGCGCGTGGTTACTCCAGTTGAAGCTCTGGGCGATCCAAGAAAGGGCCAGAAACTTGAGCAAGCCTAGGTGCTCTGGCTTTGGAGCCTTATTCTCGAGTTTGGCATCCAAATCTAAAAGTAACTTAGCAGTTCGCGTAATGGACCACCGAACGGTGATCCGGCGACAGGCAGCGTGGCACAGACTTTGGCGGCGATGAAAATAGTGACCACCCACATGTCCACAGTGTAGCGCACATCGACGATAATGGCACCTTTGGGAAGTTGACGAGAAAGTCGATGCAAGCGTCAGAGTCCCTAGCGATGCCGCCGTGGAAGCATATTGCACAGGTCAGTGAAATAAGAATTACCGGTAGGGCTAGGTGTTGTGCAATTCGACGTAGGTAGGTTGCAATGTTGCCCTGTAGGTATTGTATGTTGAAACATAGAGAGCTATAGTTGAACTGCGTCATGTGTGCGATCTTGGATGCGTGTTGGCCGCCCTTGTCTTTGCCAGCGCAGACCGGAGCGTTAAAGACAAAGGTATCGCGTCGAGTTTGACTGGGGTCAAGACATCAATGGGGCCCAACAAGTGCAAGCAAGTCGTGGACAATATGGATAACAATCAATGCCAAAATGGTAGCACGATGATGCTGTGTGAATCGAGAGATGGACAAATGTTAGGCATGAGGTTGGTGGCTTCGCTAGAGCGTCTTGTCTTGACCATCTTGAGCACTCGCAAAGTGCGTCGCTTGCTCAAGGGCTCGAAGAAGGGGGGTGGGGGTAGACTTCTGAGCAACCCAACGGAAATAACACAGCCAGCAAAGTGCGTCGCATCGATAGATCGAGAACCAGGACTGGGGTCACGGAGCTATTGCCTCATTCAGCGTCAATGTCTCTGAGTCGCCTGCAGCACGCCAAGTTCAGCTCGCACTATCTGATGTGGCGTTGTCTAGCGAAGGCTAGACCGCACTATTTCGAGTTCGTCAACTAATTACTTTGATTGTTGACGGGATGCGATGCGCCCAGAGTCCTGTGAGCCATATAACGCCTCCATCACTTCTTTCAACATTCAACACAGACAAACCTTCACCAAGGCATCAAGATGGATGCACCATATCTATATCCAAATATACGTCACGAGGAGCGTCTCATCGATGGGACTCTTCCTGACCTACAGCCCGGCGAGGCCGTGTGTCGGTCTCATTCCCAGCCCTCACTGCAGGGTGGTGTCCACACCATCAATGTCAGTCAAGAGCTCGACGCAGCCCCCGCTCCAAAGGAAGACAAGGAATTTGGGACAGAATCATCCCGAGACTTTGAAGTTGTCGCTCCTCACTACAGCCTGCCAGCCTCCAGCCTTGACTCCGTGTTCCCAATGGTGGGCGATGGCGCGTCGCCCAAGACGCTGCCTCATGTCGTTTTGAAGGATCCCCATTTCCCGTGGAAGTGGCCAGCAAGCAAAACTAGCACCACTTCCAAAGTTAATAAGCAGAAAGGATGTATTCCGTGGGTAGCTCTCAACACCTTCACCGCCGATGAGCTTCAGCTCGATTCGACGACTCTTGAAAGCATCACCAAGTTCCCTGACGTCCGGGCAAACGATAATCTAAGCTTCAGATTTCCTGTTGCTAGGATCAACGATATGAAAACCGAAATGATAGACAACGGCAGCGTTACCAACCTCATGATGAGTCCAGCCAGCCGCGAAGCCAAGGACGACACGGCAGCCATCTGCATTCCCGGGGAGCTGTTTCGACAGCTGTTTGCTGATGAGAATGGGATCTGTCACATCAATCAATTTCAGTATCTCTCACATGTTCGCAAAGTGGCTACTGATGGCATGGTATCATCTGTTGATGGCGAGTCCGGGCTGTATAGCATCATAGTCTCACACCGTACTGGTCCGCTCGACACGGCAGTGCCTGTACCCATGTCTGCTCACCTTGTGTCTATCGAGAATATTGAGAACCTTGACATGGCCAAGGTCAAGCCTCATGTGCTCATGACAAGCTTGTACAGCTGGTCGTACACTTCACTCCCTGCAGGCTCCTCTAATGAGATGAAGGCGCTGAGAATTCTCGGCAGATCTGGTTTCCAACTTCTGCGTCCCCCGCCAGCACAAGGAACTTCACAGTCGAAGGGTATAGAGAGCCGCACCTTGATGGAAGATGTTACCGCGAAGCGGCAACAGGAGGGATACACCCTCATGCGATACAGAACCGTCACGGGCGAACTAACAGTCGCCATTTACCGTGGGCCCCTGATACCGACCCCGGTCACGTACAACATAAGACCTCCAAGCAACTTTGGCACTGATCTTCAGATATTGGACCCGGAACTTTCGCTCATGGACATCTCCTATTCCTCGGCCTGGCAGCTTGGCAGAACTCTGGGTATGAGTGACGCCGCCTTTACTTCCGCCCTTTCACGAATCCGAGCTCTTATCCAGAGCAAGGCAGCGGATGGGGCCAAGAGGGATGGTAGTCATCACCTCAGAGCATACAAGTCTCGTGATGATGCGGTAGCTAGCATTGGGCGCATCGTGTCAGGGCTAGGCGACATGAACAATCATCTCCACGCCAATCAATCAACTACTTCATCAACAAACCGTTGGAAGGAGAAGCCTGTCCCAGAAATCCTGTCTGAAAAAGGCGCACCTTTCAAAGACCACGAGGTACCCAACAACACCGATTTCCACCAAGTCTACAACTGGGTTCTTGACAAATTGCACCTTGCTCATATTCCGGCCCATTACCTTATTACAGACCCGTCTTACCTGCAACCTGAGTCACTACGTTTCTTCTTCATCGATGAGAATTGGACCCGGGCCTTGGTAGACGGTGCGTTGAGCTTGGCAAATCACTGGGGGAGCGAGCCAGATCGTGACTACGCCCGAAGTGCACTCAAGACCAGCATCAATGCCTGTCTGGCCACACCGCACGAGAAGGTTGGCAACTGCCAGCAAGTGCCAAAATACGGCTTTCTATTACGCTCACAAGTGTTAGTGCAGTTCACTGACCTGAAAGTGAAGGCAACATTTGCAAGGGCAAACACTGCAGGTGAAGATGAAAGCATGCCCAAGGCCTCAATCCTGGTGCAGCGAATGTTAGAATCGGACATTATGCTTTGTTTGTTCAATCAAACTCCACCAGACCTGGAATCCATTGAGCTCACACTCCCACCGCATCAACAAAGCTTTGCCGTTGGTGAAGACATCACGCCCTGGGAGCTGAAGGTGGCATTTCGCAATACAGTTGCAACTCAAAAGCCATCGACCGAATGGCCGTCAAGGCAGGATGCTATATCGAGGGAGACATACTCAGCGCCGACCTGCCCGGTATTTGACTGGCCTTCGCGGACACTGAGACCGACTGAGTATGCGAGGAGAGTGTTTGAGCATCAGAGGCATACAGACAAGGAGACGCCAGGCTTCTTTGAGGAAGCAGCGCCGACATCAGCATTGCTGGCGCTGCAACTCAACGAACTCCCCTACACGCTCAAGATTGCCGTGAAGGTGAAAGACGACCCCAAAAAGGATGCGAGTGACACGTCTTTCACCAAGGTTCAACACAACCGGAATGAACCGTGGCCATATGGGGCTCTCTCCCTGAGTGAGCTTCCCAGCGCCCCTACGCCGCCAATTTTACTCGACTAGGTGGATGTTCTAATGGGACTAGAGGTTAGGACCCATTAGAAAGACGATTGCTGGGACCTCGGGGGAAAGGATGTGGAGAAAAGTAGCTGGGTGAAAGAGCTGGGAAACGTGTTGAAGGGATAGAATAATGTGACTACTGGGTCGAAGTGTGGTGGAATACACCAAGAGCTTGATTTAATATACTTGAGGGAATGATCTATATATCACCGTCTGGACTTCGTAGCCAAGTTTCTAAATTCTGCCCTTCTCGGGGTACAAATCTCGCTCGGAAACCTCTCGGCGTGGCTACAAAAGAACGACCCTTCAAGCCTTTGAGCGGATCAATCTCCTCATCAGTCGTCCCACTGGCTGGAAATATCTGAAATTGGGCGACAAGGTGCAAGAAGACTGTGTACAGAGCACGATGGGCGAGCAGTGACGCTACACACATTCTTCCACCGATGCCAAATGAGAATTGGTGAGCCGCGTAGTCTGGAGAGCCTGGGAGCCAGCGCTCCGGTGCAAAGACTTCTGGCTCGGTGAACAGTTCAGGATCTATGATTGTTAGCGGTGGTTTTTTTTCAGCTGGCCTTTGCATCTCACCTCTGTTACACGCCCAACTGTTTAAGAATACAAGCGTGTTTGGTGGAATCGTGGCTGGTCCCCAAGTCGCATCCGTATAAGTTGCCTTGGGTAAAGCCAGCTTGAGGACGACGAAATATCGAGCAATCTCCTTTGTCAAAGCATCGATGTACTCCACCTTTGATGATGCATATGCGTTTGAAGGTATATCCAAGACGCCCGCTTCTTTAATCGCATGGTATGCCTTTTCCTGGATATCTGGACGGTGAGCGAGTAGTAGAATCGCCCAAGCTATGGTAGGCTGGTTTGAATCAGCGCCCTTCAAATTGTTAGTGAATATCAGGTATTTTAGAAAGGATAAACCCACTGCCATCATACTCAGGCTCACACTGATCAACTCTCCACGAGTCAATGTTGCAGACTCTGGCTCCCTGAGTACGGCACCCTGGATACAAGGTTTATCCTCACCCCGTTCAACTTCATCCTTCAACTTGTTGAGTAGGACGTCATTGTACTCAAGTCGTCTTCGTCCAATGTCGGCAGCGTGAGATTTTGGCGCGCTGGTAAGTCTCAGGAATGACGCAATGGGCTCCAAGTACCTTAGTAGTGGGATATAGTTGGCATAATTCTTGGAAGTATCCCGAAACTTTGAGATTTCAGATTCGACATATAGGATCTCCGCAAGCAAGGGGTCATCATGCAGGGACTTGACATTCGAGACTCGAGTTCCGTAGTTCAACGTTAAACTCAAGTTCAGCGAGAATCTCGTGACAGCTTGGCGAAAGTCAATCTCTATAGATCCGTCCTTGGACTCATTGTGCAAGTCCCTGAGAAACTCTCGAGACTCGAGATTGAGTATAGGCGCATAGCTTTCCACGCGAGGGCGATTCAAGCCGGCTGCCGCTAGCTTTCTTCGCCGCTTGCAGGACTCATCCCATGGACTGGTTCCAATGCTGGTGACGGCTTTGCTGACCTTTCCATGAAACACATGAAAAGTCGGTCGAGAATTCATGGCGTTTCTTTGACCAATAAAGAGTTTCTTTGCGGCGTCCACTGAGTTGACGACAACGCCTGTTGTGTTGCCCAGCTGGATCTGAAAGACCGGACCATGCTTCTGGGCCCATCTCCGGTAAGTCTCGGCGGGGACCTCGTCCCGATGCTTTCTGCTTTAGCTGGTGGATGTTTTGAGACTGTATCAGAGATCGTACCTGAAAAAGATTTCCTACAACAGGCCAGCCTCGAGGGCCGGGCAGGTGCTTGATACGACTGGAGTGGCGAGTAAATTCGTTCTGTGCGAGATAAACTAGCAATGCAATGACTGAAATAGCAATCGCGTATCCCAAAAGGGCTGGGAGGCTGAGCTCCTTTCGCAGAAAGTACTCGATGAGATTCATGTTGACGATGGTGCAAACAGACACTGGCTTCATCCACACCGTGATAAATTTAGTGTTTTGAGGAAACAAAACCACTTTACGGAGTGTAAGATGTCATCGGTTAAAGCTTGGAAAGTCCTCATTCAAATTACGCCATCTGCATGTCGTGCATCGAGGCGCGACTTCGGAATGGGCCGTTTACCGGAATAGAGACTGTGACATCGGGGATTAGCCTCCTCTTGGAGAAATGGCATTTGTCATCGATGTACGAGCAAGAGTTATTTGACAAAGTCTTTGGAATCAACGGCGGGGATTATCTCTGCCAAGGCTATAGACTGCTTAGCCACAGAGCACATCATAATGGGCCATCCTGATGGCATCCTTTGTTTCTCGTCATACTCCGCTATCTTCAGTCTCAAACAAATCATAAGGCTCCCTTCCTGAGCTTTGATCGTGAAAAGGCATCAGTCTCTATCACCAGGTTATCCCCGTCGCCGAGTTCTAGCGTCAAGCACGCAATCTGCACAGGATTGTCGGACCATGCCCGACACAACTACGTGACACCCTGTTCGGATGGGGCATCTCATTGACATTAGAAAAGACTCACTGTTTTTATGACATTGAACAGAGGTTTACGACAAGATAATAGTGGAAATCAAGCTTCATTGAGCCCTGGAAAGGATTGTTCCTAACTAGACTTGCTTCACCACAGGATTATGCTTCCCTTCGCTGTCAACATTGAACATGAAAGGCTGGTCAGCTGCACCGTTGACAAGAGCTTCATCTCGACTTCGTCGAAGCATCCAAGGTGAGTTCTTCATCCCCTTGTGCCAGTTTCGACCTTCATATTCAGCTTCGATGGGCTTCTCTCCACCAGCCTGAAGCTCCTTGGCCCGTTGCTCGATTTTCCCCCAAACTCGTAGAATATTCTCTCCGGCCAGTAGTCGAATCTGTTGGTCTGTAGCTCCCCTCTCCATCAAGAGTTGAATCAAATCGGGAAACTTGGAAACGTCTTCAAGACCAACCGGGACAAAGGGAGTGCCTGAAAAATCGCTTCCTATGCCAACGCATTCCCAGCCGCAAACCTCGGCGATGTGAAGAATGTGATCAACCACGTCGTGAATGGTGGCCTGGTCTGGGTTCTTCATGTTGAGGAACCTGTTCACAAAAACGGCCATCACTATCCCTCCGTTCTGCTTGACGAGCCGCAGCACATCATCAGGGGCATGGCGAAGGTGAGGCTCAACAGCGTAGGCTCCAGAGTGCGAGAAGATGACTGGAGCTCTTGTGACGCCCAATACATCTCGCATGGTCTGGTGTGAGACGTGTGATAAGTCGACCATCATACCAAGGCGGTTCATCTCTTTCACCGCGTCGTACCCAAGCTTGAAAAGACCTTGATCGGCACCTCCAGCCGCCACTGTCGAAGCAGACGTTCCAAAGGCGTTATCGCAGTTGTGGGTGAGAGTGATGTAGCGGGCACCAAGGTTGAACATTTGGCGAATGGCTCCAATGCTTCCACCAACTTGGTGACCTCCTTCGATGCCAATCATACTGGAGATGCGACCTGACTTGAAAGCTTCTCGAGCACAAGCAGGAGTGTCGCAGTATTGGAGATGCTCAGGGTGTTCATTGACAAATCGTCTTGTCACGTCGATCTGCTCCAAGGTGTCCCTCACGACCCACTGGAGGTGAACTGTTAGCACTCTTCAGCCCACTAGTTCATGGGATACGCACAGATGGATCTTCAAAGTGCTGTTGCTGAGTATCACAATCCACGTATACACTCCAGAATTGGCCTCCAACCATGCCTTGCCGCATTCTCTGGATATCGGTGTGACCTAGGAGCTTCTTGCTAAGATCCACGCGACCATCGTAGATGCGGTTGTGCAACTCAATTCTTAGTTGCCAGGGGAGGTCATTGTGACCATCGATAAGCCTGACCGATTGTTAGCGAGAACCAGATGACGCGAAGTACTGTCGTACGGTGTAGTCTTCAGGACACGCTTTGTGCGCTCAACATAGTCTTTGGAATCGATAGGGCCCTCTCGAGGCCAGAAGAATGAAAATGGGCCAAGGAATAGAGCGATCCCTGCTACGAGGAACGGATACCTCAGCCAAGATCGAGTATTCTGGCTCTGGTGGTTTGCCCGAACTGTCAACGACCGCTCGTTTTCAGCGCTCGTATTTGCATCTCCTTCTGCAGTGTTTTGTAAATTGGGGGTTTGTGTGTCCGCCATGGCTGGGTGTTGAATGGACCGCTGCAAGGCAAAAAGGTGAAAGCAACGGCGAACGTAGACCGTCAGAGATAACGGCGTCAGGAGCCTCTCTAGTTTCCGTCATAACCTAACCGGTGAAGGCATAAACGAGGCATTATTCCCGCATCCTAGGTAGAATTGATAACCGATCGGGGCCAGGCCGACATTATTGCCAAGAGTAATCCTACATTGCGTGCTAGAAGCTGCCAAGAGTCAGCAAGCGAGACTCGTCCCCGCACCACGCTGCATGTTGCGTTACCCGACCACGGTAGTCTTATCAACACCCAATCCTTCGAGCGGGGTTCATGCTTGGGTGTGAGCTTGTGTGCTTCCAGGGAAGGATGATGTCTTGAAGAAGTGGAAGGTCTCACGTGAATTTCTCGCTTCAGAGGTCAAGAAGAACTCGTAGATGTGTTGGCATACCCAGCCAGTGAGCATTAGCCCATCCAAAGGCATCTCGGGAACCCAATGGAAGCAGGGTTCAGGAAGATAGGAACGGACAAGTCTAAATGGCAATTCAGGCAAAACCCAACTCGGAGATCTCTGGTCTATCTCCAGGAAAGACAGGATTCTTGCTTTGTAGTATTCACGTAGCCCAAAGATCTTGTCAGTTTTCTGACCCCAAATCGCCCGCCCTGTCTTCAGCGATTAGGCGGGGGTGAATCATGGAGATATTGCACATGCTTTTGACCGTGCCAGGACGACGGAAATTCAGGTCTTCAAGTTTCGTAGCCATTGATGATTCCGGGTTTACCACGTGCCTGCTTGGAACGAGTTCCCCCCTACTCGTCGGAGTTTATTTTGAGCG